TCAAGAGAAGATTCTGATAAACAGTTTGAAATATTGGACTGTAGATTAAGGGAGTTGGCAGGCAAGTTGTATAGATTTGAAAATCATTGGCATAGAGACGGTAGTTATAGAATAGATGAGGTCTTCAAGGTGACAGGGTTTGCGTTTCATAAGCCATGTGCACTAAACAAAATATGAAGTTTTACCTAAACAAATTGTTAATCTTGAAAAGGCATCTAAACATTAGTTCCCTCACCTCAGACATTAGCCAGAGTTCATTCTTTAGTCATGTCATAGCATGTTACAAGTAAAATCTAAACCATGGCTAATGTCAACATTAGCTAACACTGATCTTCCCAGCCATATTCATTGGTTAACGTCCAGAAGGTTTGTGAAGATAGAACTTACATAAATTATCTGAATAGTTTAACAATTTATTTCAACAGATTCTCATCAAGTGTCCAGTATGTGCTAGGCGTTGTGCTATAACATCAATGTGCTTTCTCCATATTTAACTTTTTAGCTAGCTCATTTGATTCATTTCAAGATTATCTTAGCACTTAGCACAGTGCTCAGCACCTAGTGGACACTTAATAAATGCTTACTGGCTGACTGATTATATAGTTAAAGTTGACTTTAGTTAAATACCTGCTATAATTTTCTCATATGGAGGGATACTACAGTGTTGGAGGCCTGATGGACACATGTAGGCTAAGTGTGGTGTTGTTTTTATAGTCTTCGAGGAGGGGGGTTTAAAGTTAAGGTTTAAAGGATATGATTTATCATATGGAGGATAAACTATGATGTCATTTATTCTATCAGTTGGAGGATTCTGTTTGATGCATTTGGGATGGTGTGTGCAATATTATAGAGTCATAAGAGTTAGGAGAGGCAAGATGCTACAGTGGAAAGCACACTGGATTTAAAGCCAAAAGACGGAGTTTCAGTTGCAGTGATGCATGTGACCTTGGGCAATGTATTACACCTCCCTGGGAATGAATTTCCTCATATATAAAGAGATTGCATTGAGCTCTAAATTTTCTTCCAGCTTTAATCCTATGATCCATGCGACAAACGTGAAATGAAAGACAGCATTGATGCTGAGGATAAAAAGCTACTTCATATGTGACTGAAGCTAGTCTGGATAGCTATAGTTAAGCAGCAAGCCCATTTAGGTTTGGAGATGACTGAGAGTTTGGGGAGTACCTTGACCCAGACTCTCCTGAGGGCCAATTGTAATCTCCAGGCCTACATGTATTTATGATGTGGTCATTCTTCCTGGGCATCACAGTCTTTTCTCTCCACTGCTTTTTTCTTAAAGGGAGTGTTTTCAAAGTAAACAGATTTGCTCGCAGTAGAATACACTGCAATAGAAATTTCAATGAAAATAGAGATTCAGGGTTTTTGCCTCAATTTCCTCACCTGTAAAAATGAAGATGATACTTATATTACTTAATTCACAGAGCTATTAGGAAGAAAGTGCTTAGAGAATTGTAAAGCTCTAGAAATGTGAGTTGTTGTTAGGGGGTAAGGGGGGCATATTGGTTTATTTACTTCATTTATACTACTTTATTATGATAGACCATGCTACATAATTAAATAGCATCACCAGAAGAATATTAGTGTTAAAAGATGTACTTTTGTGTGAAAGAGCAGCTTGGGATTGTCAAAAGCACTGTGCACATTTCCCAAATGCAATCTAGTATGCCCTCTTCCTCCTATTCAATTCCCTCTTCCTCCTTTTGAATTCTGGACCTAGCTTTCGGTCCATCTGCATTGCCTGTCCAAGATATATGTTCTCATTCAAAAGGCTTCCTATCCGATCAAAATGGTGAGTGACCCAAAGGGCAATGAGAGATGCATGGTTGTAGTAAATAGGCTGAAGCACATCACTAATGACGCCTGTAACAATTGGCATAAAAGGCATAATACAGGAAGTGTGTTATCAGAAAAGAAGGTCAGTCAGACGTCTAGTGAAAACCAAGGATGGATAGCTTACGCGCTACACTGATAACCAGAGAATGTTCAAAAACCTAGAATAGGGCTTCTTAACCTGGGATCTTTGAACCTTAAAAATAACTTTTATAATTATATTTCAATATAATAGATTTCTTTTGTAATCCTGCACATTTTATTTTGTGTGTTTAGAGACATGATTCTGAGAAGAAGCCCATAAACTTTACCAGATTGCCAGAGTCCTATCATACACACACACACACACACACACACACACACAAATTAAGGCCCCCAGTGTGTTAGGTAACTTCTATAAGGAGGAATTATAGAAGGACATGAATAAGAATCACAAATGATAAGGAAACATGGATAATTTACGATCTATACCCTCAAAGGGGATCTGTATCCACCTAAACAAGATCATGGCTCCATTAATGTTATGCTACCTTCTTTTTAAGTAAAAGATGAGACTTACAGTGGTTTTTTTTTTTGTTTTTTTTCCCAGCTCTTGCTACTTTCACAGGAATAGCCAGAACCCTGTTCTATCTCAATGGCGTCCTCACATTGTTGAACACGCAGGAAGGAACTCTAACTTCCTCTACTCTCTGATCTTCCTTTTGTTATGTCTTTGCTCCTGGAGCCTTTTTTAATGCTTCTCTCCCCGTGTGCCATTATGGACATCATTTTTCAAACAACTCTTTTCTGTTTAGTCAGTCCAGGCTTTCTAGACCTCTGACAGTTGAGTCTAAGAATAAGAGAAGTTTAGTATTAGACATAGTTTGCAATAGCACTCCTGAGAGAGAAGCAGAGTGAGCATTTGCTCTGAGTAATTACTTACGGTGATTCACTGCTTGGAAATGGCATTCAGGAATGAGAAGCCATTAATAGGTATACATTTTAGTCATCCATTGTGAATGAAGAAGGAAGCACAGGGCCTGTTGTCTTAACCAGAGCCTAGCATGGTACATCCAAAGCCTGATAATAAGTGCTTAACTAATGTTTTTATTCCATTGAACCTAGCAATTCCAGTGAAAATCTTTTTACAAGAAGCTAAGGCTGTTTTTTACTCCAGAAAACTATTGCCATCATTGTGTATTAGTCAGCTATCTTACCACTGCAAAATGAATGTAGGCTATTAAATTAATTTTAATTTTTGAAGGACAATAGCCTCACAGGTTTTCAAATTCAACTGCAGAAATATAGGGTGGGAGAGGTGTGGCTAAACAAAAGGTCAGATGCAAAAGATTGTGGTTTTGGGTGGCCTACAGGCTCTATATGAGTCAACTATGGGATGTGGCAGCCAAAAAGATAAAGCAATCTTTGGCTGAATTAAGAGAAGTATCACGTCATAAGGAAGGTGATGGTCCCACAGTGTTCTGCTTTAGAGCATGTCTAAGTACTGTGTTCAATTCTGGTTACCAGATTTTAGGAAGAACATTAACAGATGAGAGCGTGTTCAGAATAGTATGGCACCAAGGTCAAAGGCCTGGAGACCTTCCCATAGGAGGATAATTTCAGACACTGGAAGTGTCTAGCTTGAAAAGATAATATTTAAGGAGATGGGGTAAGGGGAACATAATGATGTCTTCAACTATCTGAAGGGCTGATGTAGGAAAGACATTAGACATGTTCTTCCTGGCCCTGGAGGTTAGAAGTGTATGTAAGCCAAAGGTAGAAGTTGCAAAGGGGCAGATTTTGGTTCAGTTTAAGGAAAATCTTCCTAACATTTATAGCTTTTTAAAAGTGGGATGGGTTGCCTTGGGAGGCCGAGGATTCTTCCTCACTGGAGGTCTTCAGGCAAAGACTGGATGACTTTTGTTCAAGGCTTTGCTAGAGGGAGTTACTGCTTGGGTACAGGTTAGAATAGATGACCTTGAAGGTCCCTTCCAATGCTAAGATTCCATAATTTTTTTTTTAATGAGAGAAGTATTTGTAGAAATTTCATGATCAATCAAAATGTATTTTAAATTAATTCATATTTCATAACTTTTCTTGTTGTTCAGTCATGTCTGACTCTTCATGATCCCATTTGGGGTTTTCTTGGCAGAGATACTGGAGTAGTCTGCCATTTCCTTCTCCATAACTTCTCTTGGCTCATCTTTTAAAAGAATGACTTATCCTTCATTTTAGATAGTATATGTCACGGGAAAGACTGACTTGCAAATATTTAGAGAGTTCACAGAATTCACATGAGGGAAGACAGAGATAAAACATTTTAATTAATTTATTTGATAATTGTTTTATCTAATGGATAGATAAAGTATTAGACTTGAATTCAGGAAGACCTGGGCTCAAATCCTGCTTCAGATATATACTAACAGGTGCCCCTGGGTCTGAGGTTTGGTTGCCTTATCTGTAAAATGAAAGAAATGAAGGCACCTACCTCATGGAGGATCAAATGAGATAATATAGATAAAAGCATTTTAGAAATCTTAAAGTACTTTATAAACATGAACTATCATTATCTTCATTGAAAAATCACATAAGAAAATGTTGCCATACCACCAGGAAAGGACCTAAAGATGGACATGTGCTCTGACATTTTAAATGGGTCCCCAGAAAACTCAGTGAACTTTGTGCTGGAAAACTGCTCAGTGCTAATAACGCTGGTGGTTTCAGTGGACAAAGAATGTTTTATAAACTTGTGTTAGTGCTAGGCCTCCTCACACTAACTCTATGTCCTCTACATAGGGGATATTCTCTATTCCTGTGTCCATGAGACACAAGATTTGACCCCAGGTAGTATTCTAATACATACCAAGTGCTTTACAAGGTGGATTTTATTCATTCCTTCACCACTGTTCAACAAGTATTTATTAAAGACCTACTATGTGTAGAACACCAGGGATTAAAAAAGAAGGGAAAAAGCCAACTTTCCCTCATGAAATTACTGTGTTATTATTGTTTCTACAGAAAAAAAAAAACGAAGAAAGATTGACATGGTAGTCAATGTATTTTAGATGGTACTTGATGTATTTTACAACATAACTGCTCCACTGCCCATCAAAATGAAAACTTTTTTTAAAATATAAACCAGTTTACCATATTAATTTCTTCTTTTTCAGTTACTTTAGAACAGTTCTCCTTAGCAGTGGGGAGCTGCCCTGTTCGGGAGGACCAGACTTTGTTAATGAAGGTAGGTTATCAGATGAAGTGCTTATTTTCTTAAAGCCTCCTAGCATTTTTATTGCTCTGAGGATAGTTTCATTTTACAAGAGGGAGTAAATTTATCATCTCTGAATTTTTACACTCTGTGGGGATAAACTTGTCATCGACGAGTAGGAGGGTTGCTGGTTAATGAGCACAACTGCTGCCTGTGCAGTTCATGAGAGTGACAGGAAAGTGGTTGTCAGATACTACCAGAGAATTTGTTTAATTCTCCAGAGATCTCAGTTGGTTCTATTTAAACTAATCTGACAGAGTCTTGACTTTTTTTTAAGCAGATTTATGAGAGCTGGCCATGTTTTATGTCTCCTACTATACTTTTTAATTAAGGCGAGGGTTTGAGTGTGTTCCTCATCCTCACTTTTGTGTCAGCAATGAATTGCTAATACAAATTAGGCTATACGTATTACCAATGGAATTGTTGCTGCTGAGGGAAAGCATGGTTTTATTCATCCTCAATCACAATTGTTGTTGTTATTGTTTTTAAAATTTTCTTTCAGACTAAAAAAAGAGCAAAGTTCTACTGTCACCAACATTTAGGTTGCACGTAAGGCTAAATGCAAAATGTAGAAGTGTTTGTCCAACCACACACATGAGTTAATTAAAACTATACCTTTGAATAGTTTGGTCAAGCACAGAGAACAAAGAGAAGCTTGTATAGGAATGCAGATGAAAGTATTAAATGGTTATAGATTGTGGCAGAATCACATGCATGTATGTAATATTCATTCTTTACTGCCAATGGCTGACACTCTCACTTTCCCCAAGATACTATATCTGCCCTTAACTTGAGACACAAACATTTAACTGCTGACAGTTCTAACATGGTACTATTAGGAAAACACTGTCTCTGCCCATCAAACCAGGGGCTAAATCCTACTATCAAATAGAAGTAACTGTGGGAAACAAAAAAAATTTTTAATAAAAAAATGGAATATCTCTATAAGTGGGTTTTAAGTAATTTGCCTGAGATGAGGTATTTGGGGTCTATCCATTTTAAAACTTTTAACTTTTAACATACCAGCAAATATTTGTAATATTAAACCTCTACATTTATGATGATGTATTTTGAAGCAAAAATTTACAGGTCTTAAGTACAACTTTCATTTCTCAAAATTGGACCTATTTAATAGAAGACTGGGTACCTAGGTAGTGAAGTCGACTAGAGCACCAGGCCCAGGGTCAGGAAGACCTGAGTTCATATTTGGCCTCAGACACTTACTAGCTGTGTGATCCTGGGCAAGTCACTTAACTCAGCTTCTTCAACTGTAAAATGAGCTGGAGAAGGAAACGGCAAACCAATATTTTTGCCAAGAAAACCCCAAATGGGGTCACCAAGTGTCAGATACAACTGAACAACAACAAAAACAAAATGGAAGACCATTCTGGGTTGGCCATACCTACATCAAACAAGATCCACTTAGAATCCAAAAAGGTACATTGGAAGCAGGGTCCTCTTTATCTGGCAAAGAAGTCACCCAGCTTTACTCAAAGTTTAAAAGATCCCTTACGCTCTTTGTCTGTGACCTTGGATAAATTACCTCACTTCTCAAGGCAATAGCTTTCTCATTTGTAAGAATGAAGAGTCTGACAGGATCCCCCAAGATGCTTTTCAGCTCTCAGATCCTCTGATCCATCTCTGAGTTACTCTTTCAACACATGAGGCCAAAACTTTCCACTCTAGGTCAGGGATTCTTAACCTGGGTCCCTGAACTTTAAAAATAAGAGGTTTTTTTTGATAACTTATTTCAACATAACTTGTTCCTTTGGCCATTCTGTTTATTTTATGCATTTTAAAACATTATTCTGAGAAGGGGTGCACAGGAATCACCAGCCTGCCAAAGAGGTCCATGGCACAAAACCAGTTCAGAACCTCTACTTGCATAACTATTATCTTTCTGGGGCCTAGAATTTGCTGCTGGACAGCCTTGATTCAGATCTGCACACATTCTTCTAGGCAACCTGGCCCATGAGTGTCACTGACTGGCAATTGTTAGTAACATCATGCCCCTCCTTACCATATATGACCTCTTCTTTTCTCTTTCTTCCCCCTTTCTCTTTATTTCACTGACTTTTTTTGTGGGGAGGGAGGGTGTCATTCTCTCTTAGCTCCTTCATCTCCTACTGTCCCATTCCCCATCTTAAGCCAGCATGACGTAATGGATAGATACTGAATCTGAAATGAGGAAACTAAAATTCAAAATCTACCTCTGACACTTGCTAGTTGTATGACTGTGCGCAAGTCACAGAATGACAGAATTTGAGAGTTGGAAAGGCCATTCAGTCCAACCCATATCCAAAGGGAATCCCTAACATAACTTACCTGATAAGTGGTCATCCGGCCCTTGCTTGAAGGTTTCTATTGAGGGAGACTCACCACCAAGTTACAACCTCTCTGAGACTTTAACATCCTCATCTGTAAAATGGACGTAATAATACCTGTCAATACACCTACAGGGTTGTTGTAAGGGTCAAATGAGATAACATATATAATGTGCTTAACAATAAAGAACTATAGATATAACAGGTATCATTATCTCTCTTTCTCTCTTAAAATTTTTCTTCTTCTCTGCTTACTCATTAGGACTTTCAGGAGCACACATTCACATTGCTTAATCCCAAAGGTGTCACCATTTAGAGGTAGAGGGTTTTCTGACCTCTGCTTTAAATTCATACATGGTCATGTAGAGGAGGCCACAGGTAGAATGTTGGGACTTGCAAGGCCAAGTCACCTAACTCCCCTTAGCTTCTATTTTCTTATCTGTAAAATGGGGATAATAATGCCTTTAATAGTTATTCTGTAGGATAATTGTGAAGCTCAAATTAGATAATGTATGAAAAGCAATTTACAAACTTTAAAGTGCCATAGAACTGTCAATCATCATGGTTTCATGAGAGGCAGCACATTGGAAGAGGGCAGATCGCTGTGCTGGAACATGGAAATGAGCTTCTAACCATCAATTGACTTTATGACCTTGGACAAGTATCGTCACCTCCCTGGACCTTTGTTTTGGAATTTGTGGGAGGAGTACCTTAGAGTAGGCCTTAAAGGCCCTTTCCACCTCTAGATTTTGACCCTAAATGATTCTCTGCTTGTTGATTCTTAGACTGTTCCAATGCTGACAATTTGGTTAGCTAAGAAGAGCTAACATTTATATAGCATTTTAAGGTTTGCAAAGCACTTTACAAATATCAGTAAGTCAGTAAACATTTATTAGGCACTTACTATGTGCTAGGCACTGTGCTAAGTACTAGGGGTACAAATAAAAACTAAAATAAATAAATAAGTGAATGAAAGAAGGAAAGAAAGGCCAAAAATCTTCTAAGGAGCTCATAGTCTGACGGGGGAGACACTATGCAAAGAACTATGTATGAAGAAGATATATTCTGAATAAACTAGAGATCATCAACAGCAAAGGCATTAACATAAAGGAGGATCGGGAAAAGCTGCCTTTAGAAGGTGAGATTTTAGCTGGGACTTGAAGGAAACCAAGAGAACTAGAAGGAAGAAAGAAGAAGGGAGAGAAAATGGCTGAAGTCAGGAGATAGAGTGTCTCATGGAAGGAGAACAAGGAGGCCAATGTCACTGCATCAAAGAATAGCTTGTGGAGGTGGGTAGGATATGAAAGTCTTTGGATGTCAAACAGAAGACCTTGTATTGATTCTGGAAGTGATAAGGAACCTCTGGAGTTTATTGAATAGATGAATATGGTGTGTGTGTGTGTGTGTGTGTGTGTGTGTGTG